CACACACACACACACACACACACACACTGAATTTAGGTGTCATATGAAATGTACAAGCTAATATTGAACAGTTTTTAAACAGTAAAAATATGGAACTACGTAAAAACCATACAATTTCAACCCGAAACATAACCATGTGTGGCTGCCCTTTTAAAGCTACACCCATGGTGTACAAAAAAAAACAGATGAAGAAACTGAAAACAAACACTGAATTAAAGGCTTTGTCAGGTCTCCTAATGCCCAATCGAGTTAAGGCAAGCCAAAAATAAGTCACAGCTGGGATTCTCCTAGGTATGGAAACTCTGCCAACAAGGAATTGATACGAGATTATTTTTGTACCAGTATTTTATTCTTATCATCATATACTAAGCAAAATAACTTAAATATGAAAGTATGAGTCAGGCCAAAAAACAAAAACAGATTGACAAAAGGGACAGTGGCAAAACAAGTTGGAAAAAAGATCTTACGTCCTCAGTCTAATCAAAGTTACCCACTCTTCTAGTTTTGTAGTGTGCCTTGGACAAAAATAAACACTATATGTATCATACCAGTTTCCAAACAAAGAAAGAGCCCTCTCATGCACAGTTTGATAAAATCAATTTGTTTAGGGCTTCTCAAATGTTTTTCTTATGATGTCTCCTATCACATACTGCCTTTCCTCTATGTCCCTCTAAATATGGTCTAAACTAACGGCTCCACAGGAATTCTYGCAGGAGGATACGGGTGTAAAACCCTAGGGATATACACAGATCTCAATGGGAAGTCTAAAAATGGGTCTGCAAACGAAGGTCTGTAGAYTGCCCCTACCTCACTGCCTGTTCTGTGGATAGTCTGACTGAAAACACYACCATACCCACACCCATTCATTATCTCCTGCTGCTTGTCACTCTACCATGTGGGAGGGATTTTATGGCCCTCAAAGCCTCAAATATTTATTATTGGTCCTCTTAAAGATAATAGTGTGCTGATCTCTAGCCTCAAGAATGAGGTATGGAAGAACACTGACATAATCTGAGGGAGAACAAAGCTAAGAAGCATTTTATACTAATAAGTCTTATTATTTTCTTTCAAAATGGCTGCTTAGAAATCCATGCTAGAAATTGCTTTTGAGCTCCCAAGTGTCAAAAAAAAAAAAAATGTAGAAGAACTTCCATAAAGCACATTTATACACTGAAGTCTGATATGAGTTGAAACACAGAAAAGACATTATGCTATAATCTTGGAATCCTACCCCTGACCTCAACCAAGTCATGAAACTTTCCTTAATAAATAATAGTGTATGATTCTGTTCTATAAAACATGCCGAATACCCCCTTTCRAAATATTTCTGATATTTAATTTATTTTTTCAAGGCCTCTGACTCGAGATCAATCTGTTGTTCATCACTTTCCCTTGATAGAGGGGCTATAGCGTAGGGAAAGGAGTGATAAAAACTAGGTGCCACCACGAACAAGCAATATGATCACATCTTGAAGAGAAAGAGTCACTGTAGAGTACAAGAATAAACATGAGCATAGATGAGATTAAAGAAAGGAGAGAGAGAGCAGAGCCATGTTCAGACAGAAGGGAACTGACCTGAGTTCTGTTAAAAGCCACACGTGCAAACACTGCCTGGGAGATTCCTGCTCGTTTCAGTTCATCACGAACCCACTGGTAGATTTCGGAAGACACCTCTGTGTTGGTTGAAACCTGTTGCTCCAAAGGCTTATTCATAGATCTACTGACAGGGGGAGGGTGGTTCAAGTACTGTTGGTTTAAGGACTGCTGGGCTAATAGTCTATTCACTGCATACTGCTGATTCAGTAGCTGGGCCATCACCAGCTGCTGGTTGACCAGCTGAGGACTGATAGGCGTTGATACCAGCCCAGGGTGCAGGTTTGGAAGAGGGGTCCGGACAGAGGGCTGGCTGCCATGGGAGAGCTGTGCGGGGGACGGAGGCTGCTCAGCTGTGTTCCCTGGGACCGGCTGCTGGCCAAAGTTGACATGGTTGGCACCTTGCTGGGATAGCTCAGAAAGACTATCCATTTCGACTAAAGTGGACAAAAAAATAAAAAATCATGTTCAGCCAACAATGATGTGTAAATTGATAGGAATTTCTGATCGTTTCCTCAATTAAAAACCAAAAGACAGTAGACACAAGGTACAATGAAGAGTCCAATAAAACCAAAACAATTTCAAGACAGGACTCACCAGGCTTCATCTTGGTTTTCCTCTTCTGAGCAATCCTACAGACTGAAAGTGGGACGACACTCCTGGTCTCCATTTTTTAAGTGTGCTTTATATTTAAGGCATAAAACCTACTATATTCAAATTCTTGGTAACTAGTTTTAAGGTCAAACTGTTTCTCATTCTCATTTATTACCCCAAGAAGGCTTATAAGCAATGATGTTTATATTAAAATGACTTCTAGAAGAATATCATTTGCTTAATGGCAAACTAGAAACAGTGAGCCAAGCTAAGAAAATAAGCTTCTGGTAACAAGCAACTAGAGAAAAGAAATTTACAAATATTTTCTTGTGTTATATATTAACCTTAGTAGTTTAGGCAAAAGGTGTGAAAGGRAAAAAAAAGATGACATAAAATATTTCCTATGTTCAATTTTTATGTAGCAGTGAGTATAAAGAAGYGGTTGGTCTATAAAGACGTAATACAAATGGGCATAACAACAATAATAACTGAGCACTGTTCCGAGTATCTTCTGTGTCTTGTTTCAGTTAATTCTAACCAACACAGATAGGAGGTTTWTCTGCAAGTATTTCTTAGAATGAAGCAAATGATGTACCGTGTAACAACATGGTACCTCCAGTGTTGCTAAGACCCAAATGTTTTCTCGAGAAGCTTGGGGCTATCACCAGACACTACAGATAATTCTGCAAGGAAGGAGCAGGGAGTCATTCTGGGACAGCAGTGATGCTGCCACAATTCTGAAATTTATTTCCACCTGCCCAGGTCRAATGCTTCTCCCTTAGCTGGATCCCACGTGTGGACTGGCTGAGTATCAGATCTAAGTGCAGCAAATTTTTTGCTGCCACAGGGAGATTGGTCTGATGCTCTGGTCTGGAAAGGTTAAGCATGGAGCTCGATGTAAATAGGCAAAAGTCTTTCCAAATTTCCTCATACTTCCCTTTATATACTCTATTTGGATTTTAATCATCATTTCTCTTTTCATTAAATATGCAGGTTTTATATTTAGATGAACTTATCATGTAGCTATCGTCACTGATATATGTAAAATATAACTAAGAATTTGGGAAGAAACCGTCAATTTCTATCAGTGATATCAGCCCAAGTGTGCCATTCAGAGATAATAGTAATTCAAGCAATTATTCCAAAAATGATGCATTGTCTTCATTACAGCCCTAAGCTATAAAAGGCAAAGAATCTGTTTTGGTAGATGGATGGCTTTTCTTCAAATATTAAAAGCTAAAACATGCTCAAAATTTGGTTTCTCTTGTCTCTTAAAATCTTTAGGAAAAGTTATTATTGTTGCTATTATTAAATGAATGTAAAGGAGATAAACAGAAATAGATTTAAAACAGGGCATAATGCTATGCATATTAAACATCCKATTCTTTATTACTTTAAAATACATTATTTGGAAGGTACAGCTATGTGAAAGAAAGCAGTAATAGAAAATTAAAACATTACMCTTAATCACAGTGTTTGCAATTGTGAGCACTAACAAACTTGATCTGGGGAATATGCCACAATCTAAACGTTAAGCTACAGGACACAACCTTTACCTGTCATTTCACACTGCAGGTAAATTTCCTGCATAATAGATACTGAMCTAGAGTTACGTGATAGGATAAAATGCTACCCTGGAATTTTAGTTTGGAAATGATGCAATGGTGTTCTACTATAGATGATGCAGAGGGATGCCTGCCAAAGTGCCTGCTGCGGGGGGTGGGTGAGGGGGGCCAAGCTATAAAAGTGACTTGATCTCAATTATGGAAACTAGTTATTAATTAATACAGTTTAGTTTCCTTAAAATTTAGGTGCAAAAACAGGCTCATCCTCTTTCTCTCAAATAAAAACAAAAGGCCTAAAAGCACGACTTACTTCTCAGAGAAATCACAGCTAATATTAGCTATTCAAGGCCTGGTTAGGTCTTCACTGAGATGTTAAAAAATGACAGCTCCCCTCCTCACGCCTCGATTTCCTGCATGTCTGACAACCAAGTCAGTTTGGCTGATTTAAACACAAACATTTATTGAATTTAATTATCTCATTATACTCATACCCACTCCCCACCCCCAAAGAAACATTCTAAATTGATCTCTAATTGGGCAATCAAAAGACCTGGCTTTAGATGTGACTTTGATAAACCCCCAAATGACACATAATGGTATGTAGCCACCGCTGCAACCATTTTTTTTTTTTTTTGCTTACCCATCATATCTTTTGTCTTCTTGAAATGTTTGTACCACCTTCCAAATTCTTGACATTTTGCTGCTGAGACATTTGCATAGTAAGTGCTGTTCACAATGGAAGAAATCATACTCTGCATGAAGAGGGGGGGAGAACATTTGTAATACATAGCAGCACAAGAGGCAACACAGCATTGTGGAAACTGTATTTTTTTTTTTAAATCAACTGAATACCAATACATTTTTGTTTTACACTTTAGCCTAAAGCTTCAACTTCTGAAAATTCATTAACTAGACCATCAAATGCTTATTTAAGTAGCAAGCAACAGCCCACTGAGACCAGTATAAAGCTATCAAACCCACAGACTCTGCTCCAGGATTATTTATCCAAACTCCATTAATATCATCTATTCCTAGCCTGACAAACATTCATCGATTCCAATAAATTTAAAGACATGAAGACAACAGTATGTTTGCAATTCATAAGTACATGATACTTTGCGATGGAATGACTGGACTCTACACCCTTACTGCTTAAAGTATGGTCCAGGGACCAGCCATATGGGCATCACCTAGATACTTGTTAGAAATGTTGGATTTTGTGCCCTACCCCAGCACTTGCATTTTACCAAGATCCACAAGGGATTTGCAAGCACATTAAAATCTGAGAAACACTGCTTGTACTTCCACTTCTATTATTTGTAGTTCAATTGGAGGTGCACTAACACTGTTCAAAGGTTAACACTGATCACATTCAAGAAAAACTATTCAAAGAGATTCTCTATCAGAAGGGGGAAAAATATTCTGCAATCTTTATGGCTAGCTTTATCTATAGTAAAGCTTGAGTTCTAAATTTCAACCATGGAAAAATTTTTTTAAATACATACATCTCAGATTTATTACATTTCTCTAGGAAGATGAAAATACACATATTTTCTCATTTTTTTATACTGCTTTTAACAAAACCCTAGAATCAGAGTTAACCATTTAACATGTAAAAATAAAGACAATAATCTTAATGTATTATGAGGAGTTGTTTTTTTTTTTTTTAACTCATTTTAAATAAAGAGAAGTGTTTTCTTTCCAGAAAATTTTAGTCATGGTAATTTTAGTGACTTAATTCCATGATCTTTTAAGCTAGAATGCCCATATTCTCCAGTAGCATCTAAATTAATTTTCTATTAAGTCTTAAGAATGAGCCTTTGCAGCACCAATCCATCCCTCACCCCAATGAGTAGAAATATGAGAACACACATTTCAGGTTGCAGCTGGTCTACAGGGAAATGGTTTACAGAAGGCAGCATTGTTCGGGAGAGAGTGAACAACCAGAAAAGCCAGTTTGGGGACAAAAGTATTTTTATATCATTATCGTCTTTAAGCTACTTCTAATGTAAAGCTCTTTGGGTTATTATTAATTCTCCTGACATCCATTACCAGTGTTAATTTTGTAGCATGCACACATTTCCGTAATGTGTAAATCTGGGGGAATCTCTAAAGAACTTGGATTGATGGATAAGCTAGAGTTGTATTATTTATGTAAAAAACGGCTATCTCTACTAAGAGGTACTGTGATGATATCTTTTTTTTTGACACTTTCTACTTTATAGTCATTTTCACATTTTATTTCTCTAAGAAGACATTCTTAATGTGCTCATGATGCTCTGCCATTAATCCAATAGCTTGCAATTTCACTAAGAGCCTCCCACAGTCCACAGTGCAAAAAGACACTTAGCAAGGTTGCCAAAACCAGAGCCAGAAGATTACCTGATCCAGTTAACAATCAGTCAGCTTCAATCTCACTTACTCTATGGTAATAATGGATCAATAAAGCCAGACACTAATAAAACTACTGAGATCACTGATGGATTATGGTGATTCTGCAAATGGATGACAGTTGATGCTCTTCCACTTTGGTCTAATTCTTTCAAAATTATTAACTCTTTATCTAGACATTCTGACAGATGCTTATATGTTAATACAAGTTTTAGACATAGTTCGTATCTTAATTTTTAGAAGTGTATGGAATATCTAAGTTTTGCTAACGTTTCTGACAAATATCAAATCTATTTCAACTTCCCAATAGTCTGATAAATGAAATTTGCTCTTTGATGCATACTTACTATGTGCCTGGCTGGTACTAAARTTTTGAAGATGGATAAAATGGAGTCTCTGCATACAAAAATGTTATCATGTATTGGGAAGAGAGAGATAACGTAAACCAGTCATTTCAATTCAACATGATTCAGTGCACCAACAGTGGAAAATATATGGAGTGAAGGGAGGGGAAGAATCCATAATGTTTGAAAACTCTGAAATGTTTTATAAAGCTAGATCCTATATGTAATAACATTATGTCCGTCATTAATATCTACATTGGGAAAATAACATCCAAATGCACAGCATCAGCGAAGCCCTTGTTCGAACCTAAGTTGGTAGGCTATGTCCTTAAGTGATTTTTCTGAATGTCTCTACTTTGTCAAGTGATGTGTGCTCAGGAAACTCTGATTCATACAAATACTAACTCATATTAATGTTATATGTATTAATATTAAATGCCACATTGGGCATAAATCAAGAGCCTAATCCACAGGTTATAATGCACACCAAAGCAACTTYTTGGAATTTCTTTTGTGCTTTTGCAGGACTGGGAAATATTTTATAATTCAGGTAATTTGGGGCCATCTCTCTYTTCATCAGAACAACATGAAGCAATCTGTATGACTAAACCACTCTGACAACCACTTCATGAAGCGCTCCTTCTTGATGGCAAAATCCCAACTGCAAGCTTAGATGTGGCATCTGAGTACACAGGTGACTTTCAGCAGCATAGAAGAGATACTGCAGAACATTGTAGTGCACATGGGTATTTGAAATATCATACCCAATACTGTCATGTTAAATCTGAAAAAATCAGGAACACCAATTGTTTTGGTGATATAAATTACAAAGTGAAGACTGGTGATATATTTTACGTGGTAGGATGTATACAGGTAGACCAAGTTCCGTGTTTTAAATGAGAAAGCCTTGGGACTCTTATGCCAATCCAAGGCGACACTGGTTTAAAAAGATTGTGCTAAGCAGGGCTGGGGTTCCATATTACTTTCCAGCCCAATGCATGGCATATATTAAATATACATCGAATGTTCATCTGATGAAATGGAATAGCAATAAATCTGCACTCAAGTGCAAGATGTGTCACACACTGGAAGTGTGACCTTGTGTCAATTAATTGACATTTCTATCACAATTCTCCATACTAAATGGGAGTGGTGGTAGCATTCATCTCATGGGGTTGTTTTGAAAATCCATTCTATACGGGCATTTTTCCCCATTCATTTAGCATGTGTTTAGTGACCTCCTACTATGTGTCAAGCATGGAGCAAGTCACTAGGAAAGTAATGGCTTGAAGAGACGTACTATCTATACTTGGACAGACAATAAATAAAATAATGGAAGTGATGCAATTAGCACAGAGCCTGGAACATATCAAGCATGAACTTACRAGATGTTAATTACTATGACAACCCTCTACCTCCTCCTCCTTTTGGGGCTTTTATTATATGATCACAGAGATCAGTCAACTATGCTTTAAATAACAGAGAAGTATCAGATAAAATTTTTGAGATGATGTATTTTAAGTCAAATACATTTTCCTAGGAAGACTGAAGAATGCACTAATTAAACTATTAACAAGTCCAGCCAGTGGATAACAAGGGAAAACACCAAGGGAAAAGCATTTCTATTTGTTTCAATATTCCCATCTGGTAATGTTTTCTGAAGCTAGCCCAAATCTGGTAGCTGACATCAGGAAAACATGTACCACTCCTGACTCTTCTAGACCTGTGCTGTCTCCCATCTCTGGCTAGCAGTGGCTCATCCTGCAGCATATATTGTGAGTATCTCTGCTCCTGAGAAGCCCTTCTAATACAGAACCCATTGTGTTGTTTATTTTCCACTAGGCCCTGAGCCTTAGGTCTTTCCTCAACATACCCTGGACTCGTCATGGGGTTGGGCTCAATTAGATGATCATTAAAGGGTCACTGAAATAAGTCATTCCTGAAGGTCTCCAGGACACCCCCTCTTTTTTTCCCCCTAAATTCAAAGGTAATGTCAGCTTGTCACATGAACCTTTAGAATCCATCACTTTCAGCGGTCACAAAAGAAATCATAATTTCTAGAACCATTATTCATTAATTTGCAAGAGATCCCTTCCCAGGTTTTTCAAAATACATCCACACAGATGTCTCGGAAGTTGCAGCGCTCSGTGGTTATGTTATTCCAGTTCTCTCTCAGTGTCTATTTATATGAGCTTTCCAAAGCACTTTGAAAAAGACACAACTTGTATGGCAAGTTTCCTTTTCAGTGGCCAGTATGTATAAAAAAACATCAATGTTCCAGGCAAAAAATAATCCAAGTGGCAAAACTCAGGTGGTAGAAATTCCAAGTTCAAATGCTACACAGTACACCAACCAATAAATAGGCCACAGCTTCCAGTGTTGGGAAATACAATTTGGAAGTCGGCAGAAATTGGCTATGGGTCTCATAACCCCAGTGTGACACAATATTCTCATCCTAGGAGCCAAGTTGTAAGCTTTTCTAAGATCCATAAAGCACATGTCTACTCCCTATGAGGAGCTTCGGTTCTTTCTGCGAGTCTGCTGAAGTTCCGATCTGAAAGAATGCCATCTTCACAGAAACCCCAGTCCTCTAGAATGATACCATCTGCCGCAGGCTAAGCTTCCTTTTCAGCCAAATACATTATTTATAACCTTTCTAATTGTGAAAAGGTAAGGGTGGAATTTTTCTAAAGCCTGACTTTCATATAGTTAGAACATTCTGAACCTTTACTCTAAAATCTGCAGGCCTCTCAATTTGAAAAACAAAACAAAACATAACAAAACAACAACAAAAAAAAACCATGAGGAATTAGTTGAGGTTACATAATTTTCCCAAATGTTATATTCTTTCAAACCCCTGCTAGAAGATCATACACACTAATGGTATATAAGTATAACATACTCAGAAAAAGAAGCAAGATTTWAAAAAAAAAAAAAATTTGGTCATCTTAGTAGCCAACGGATAGGATCTGGTGAGGTAAGGCCTTCTCAAAAAAATGATTCATCAACGAGAGAAA